AACGGATGAGTTTCCCATCCATCAGGAGTCACATGGGCTATACTGAACCATAGTACTCCCCATCCCCTTGACAGCCTGTTCAAAAACAGTACAACAGCTGGAGCCAAATAAAAGACAAAGCATCCGGTGAATGCAACATAGTACCCCAGTTGGGACACAGTTTGGGGACCACAGCTGTATTAGTTAGAATTCTTTGATTGCAAGTAACAGCAACCCAAATGACTGGAAATCAGAAAGGGAAGAGAGAGATTATTTCTGAAGATTATTATCAGAAAGGTATAGGGAGGTTATGAGAACCCATGGACAGACAGAATGGGATTTGACACCCGAGACTGCAGCCATCAGTACCTGTGTCCCTCATCTCTGCCTCTCTAGTCCTCATTGTACAGGCTGACTGCCCTCCTGCTCTACTGTTGCAAAGAGTTCTTAACCACATGGAGAAGCCATCTCAACTCCAAATTCCATAGGCGAGACTGACTCAGGTTGAGTTCACCACTGGCCAAATACACTCTAGCCAAGAGGAATGATGTCTTGGAGTGCATGGGCGTGGAGCTGTCATCACCAGAGAGCCACGCAAGGTGCTAATGCAATGACCAACGTCTTAAAAAGGAGTAAAGAGCTGAAATGTGGGGCAGGAGGGACAAATTCCTGTCCTTACCTGGAACCCTGAGGCTACTCCCTTGCTGTCTCATTGGCAGTTCTGTCCTCTTAGACACTTACCCACCCTGCAGTGTGATTCGGTTTCTCCAGGCTCATTTGTCTTCCTTACCAGACACACCAGAGAAGGGAGTTCAGTCCCAACCCCTGGCACATAATCTTGTTCTAAATGATTAGAATTTAGTAAATCCATCCACCCAAATAATGCTTTTTAAGCCTTCTTCTGCTTAAGCTCAAGAGACAAACTCTAAACTCATGCCATTTTTTAGTTATCACTTAGTGATGGTGAAAAGGAATTGGGGCAAGGGATGTGAAAGGGTGGTGTGGAAGGATGCTATGAACACTAGAGGGCGCTAAAGGCAAACTCAGCCTGCTTACTGGCTGACCCAGGGCCAGAGCTGGAGTTCACATTTTTTCAATTCACCTAATAAGCGCAGGCCAAGTGTCTTTGTGCCAAATCAGATATACACAAAATTAACACATGAACAAAGATCAGTAATTTCTAGAAACCCAGAGAAGAGCCAAAGAGTTTAGGGAATGCTTCCTGAGGAAGAAAAGGCCTAAACTGAGACTTGGGGAATAAGAAATACCTAGCCAAATACCTGTGGCTCAAGGAGTAGGGGGCCGGCCCCATATACCGGAGGTGGTGAGTTCAAACCCGGCCCTGGCCAAAAACTGCAAAAAAAAAA